TGTCGGATTGAAGGGCGAGGGGGAAGGCGAGGGGGAGGAGGGTAGGTACATAGTAAGAAGGTTGGGGAGGGAGTGTTTTTTTTTTTTTTTTTTTTTTTAATTGTTTGCGCTTCTTTGGGGTGGTGTTGAAGGAGAACACCACCAACGAAGTTTTTTTTTTGTTGTGTGACCGACCAGAGTTAATTGTGTCAAGACAAGATGCCGTCCGACTTCAACGTTTTCCTGATCATCATCTCGGTAATTGTTACGGTGGCTATATTCTTGGTGAACGTGTACGTTCTGGTTAATTATCAGCATCCCGATGACAAGAATCAAGCGTACTTACCGAAGATCGTGGTCGTCCTTGGCTTATCTCTGGCGCAGCTTTCAATTCTCATGCTGCCGCTAGATGTCGCTAATCGCAAGGCCTGCACCAATTCCATCGTCACTGGTGCTTGCAATCTCACCCTCCCAATGAAGGAGCTCTGGTTCTCCGTCTACATCATCAACGTCGTCCTTGTCTTTTTCGTCATCCCTTTCTCTATGTTCTTCTACGAGTCCGACATGGACTACACCCCTACTCAGCGCGCCTGGAGCGCCTTGCAATGGTGTATTGTCACTGCCATCGTGATAGGCTTGGTCTTAGGGATCTTGTACGGGCTAGTGGGGTTCGTCGACTTCCCTGTGAAGCGATTAGAATCGACGGTTATCCCGTTTCCTCTCTCGGATCCTAATAGTTTGTTCGGCGCTCTGAGCGCCGACCGACCGTGCGTTATGGCTTACAATGCGTCAGACCCGGCGGCGCACCTGCGCTGCTCCGGGTGGGGAGTCGGGACGAAGCGCGAGATGTGGTCCTTGAGGACATCCTTCCCGGTGTACGTGATTGCCTTGTCGACAATAGCGGGATCGATTCTCTTCTCGATCTTCGGCGGAGTGGGCATCATGTCGTTGCCGTTGGATTGCATCTTCGGCTTCCTCCGCAGACCGCAGAGCCTGATAACGCGGTCGGAGTACGTGAAGAAGGCGACGGACATCGCCAAGCGGTCGAAGGAGCTGAATGAGACGGCGCAGGCGCTGCTGAAGGAGGAGAGATCGGGGAGCAAGGGGAGGAAGTGGAAGAAGAACGTGCGGCTGCTGCAGCAGGAGCTGATCTACTTAGAGGAAGACGAAGCCGAACTCGCAGAGGTGTACCCGCAGGGAGAGGAGCCTGAGCTCCTCTGGGCTCTCACCGTGCTTGGCTATCTCGGGAAATTGCTCTTCGGGATCGTCGGATTCATCATCTCGTTAATGTGGATTGTGCATATCATCGTCTACCTGTTGATCCGCCCTCCGGCAACGACCTTTCTGAATCACGTGTTCATCAAGCTGGATGAGGTGTTTGGCTTGTTCGGCACGGGAGCGTTCGCGCTCTTCTGCTTCTACTTGTTGCTGGCGGTGATTTCAGGGGAGATGAAGGTGGGGCTGACGTTCTTGGTGTTCACGGTGCACCCCATGAAGTGGGGGGGCACGCTGATGAGCTCCTTCCTGTTCAACGTGGGCCTGATTCTCTTGACGTCGATAAGCGTCATCCAGTTCTGCTCGACCGCGTTCGCCGTGTACGCGCAGGAGACGGCCATAGCCGAGATCTTCGGCCACCAGCTCGAGAATCTGAGGGGGATAAAGTATCTGTTCAGGTACAAGATCTTCCAGGTCGCCTTCATCGCGCTGGCCTTCGTCACGTTCCTCTACTACTTGGGGTTCGGTTGGCGAAGACAGGAACGGAGGCGCAGGATAGTCACTCACGTCTAATTAGTATATACCAATCATCACTATTACTGTATTATTATCATCATAATAATAACAATAACAACATTAACGAGAGTAATCAAGGTAATGAGGAGGAGGAGGAGGAGGAGAAGTTGTCATGGACGGACACTCGCAGACGATATCTGGGGGATTCGGTTGACGTCAACGGGAGATTAATCGGAGGATAGGAACCCGTCGTGCCTTGAGAAAAAGAGAGACAAAGAAAAGGAATGTGACGTGAAATGAAGGATGACGACGAGGAGGAAGAGGATGGGGGGGGGGAGGAGGAGGAGGAGGAGGAGGAGGAGGAGGAGGAGAGAATCAGGTTGAAGCCGAAGAGGGGAACGAAATCACGATTAGTTGTAGGAGGAAACCAGGTACAGGAGGAAGAGGAGGAGGTGTTACCTAGACAACGAATTCCCGGCATGGACGCCAGATTCCATCTGTGTCTCAGTAACACCTCCTCCTCTTACTCCTCGTCCTCCTCCTCCTCCTTCGGCGCTCCCCGTAAATTCATTGCCGTGCTGATCGACACAGTGCTTCGTCGTCCTCCTGATCATTTGTCTATCCTTTGCTTTTTTCGTTTTTTTTTTTTTTTTTTTTTTTTGTGGTTCTCCTTATTTCCTTCTCTCCTTCCTCCTGGTCCTCCTCCCGACTTTCCGTCGGGGTCTGTGTGTGGTGTGTCGCGACCACCACCCTAGTTATTTTCTCTCTTCTCCCTCCCCCGTCTTCTCCATCGATCGACGTCCTTGTTGATTTTGAAGCGGGAAGTAGTTCTCTCGCGCCGTGTGTTCTGCATCTCGACGAGTACGGAGGAGCGGGCTATACTACATCGGTGGATGATAATCCGTGGATAATCATCCGAAATGCATTAAGGATGGACCAGTGGGGCGAGACGGGAGAGGTTGGGATGGGCAGGGAAGAGCGCAACGGAGCATTTATATGTCACAGCCCCTCGTTTGTTGTCCTCTTCTCTCTCTGTGCCTACGGTTTCACCGGGCAGTTCTGTTTGTGACGATATATATACATCTATATGTACATCTATATGTCTATATACATATCTATGTGTACGTATATATATACAGGGTTCAGCCTCCTGATGAGTAGGTAGGTGAAACTCCGACGAAACAGTTTGTCACAGCCCCTCCCTCGTTTGTTGTCCTCTTCTCCCTTCCTCTCTCCCTCCCTCTCTGCCTACTACGGTTTACCGGGCAGCAGTTCTGTTTGACGATATATATGTATATTTATACACACATTTTTATGTACTTATGCAGTCAGAAGATTTTGTATGCCATTCCGTTTTGGATTACGAGGAGGAAAACAAGGGGTACAGGAGAGTAGGGAGAAAGTGAGTGGGTGACCACATCATACCAGAAGCCAAGGAAAGAAGGGGGGGGGGGGGAGGCTGCCTGTATGTACTTCCCCCCTGGACGGTTGACATGAAAACCCCCACGTACGCCACTGCTCGACCTGTTGCCCAAAGGGGACTACAAACAATGAGCCTTCCATCTTCTTATCTGTATCACAGGATACCGGAGGAGTAGGAGGGAGGGAGGAGTAGAAGGGAGGGAGGGGGAGAGGAGTAGGGGGAGAGGGGAGTAGGAGGGAGGGGAGTAGGAGGGAGGGGAGTAGGAGGGAGTAGGAGAGAGGAGTAGGAGGGAGGGCAGTACGAGCGAGGGAGGAGGGGGGAGGAGTAGGAGGGAGGGAGGAGGGAGGAGTAGGAGGGAGGAGTAGGAGGGAGGGAGGAGGAGGGAGGGGAGGAGGAGGGAGAGAGAAATGGTCTTACTCTGGGGAAAGTTGGCGGTTAGAGTTTACTACGACGGTAGTAGGAGGGTGGCGGGATGGGAGGAAAGAAGAGGGGAGGAGGAAGGGGGGGGGGGGGGGGGGGGGGGGGGGGGGGGGGGGGGGGAGCTAGGCGGTGACGTTGTTGTGAGTATGGAAGAAGGGTGAGATTGGGGGGAGGAGGAAGGGAGGAGGGAGGGGGGTAGGAGGGTAAACGGGGGAAGGAGGGAAGGGACTGTGAGGGTTGGTGGATTGTGTTGGTGTTCGTGACGTTAGTGGTGCGGTGGCCAAGGGGGGGAACGAGGGGAAGTCGAGGGGTGATAGTAAGCTCCTCCGCGTGGAGTCGATGTTTTCGGCGTTTCGTCGATTGTGTGAATAGGGCGAGGGATATGAGATGATGAACAGTGTAGGGATATGGACGGACTTGCCGGATGAATACAGGAATATGCGCTTGTTGGGAGGATATGGGGAAAAAGGAGCGGTGTTTACGGCGAGTGAAAAGCTCGTTGTTATCGCGCGCGCGCGCGCGTGAGAGAGAGAGAGAGAGAATTGGTTGCGCGAGAGCTCGGCTCACGCTGCAGGGTGGAGGATGGTAGGAGCGCGCTGTGGCGATGGCTTGGAAAAGTAGGAAAGGAAGAACAGGAACGACGCGCCGAATCGAGGATGGGATAGCGTGGAGAGGGGTTTGCATGCAAGAAACACACACACACACACACACACAGAGATAGATAGATAGATAGATAGATAGATAGATAGATGTGTGTGTGTGTGTGTGAGATGGGGGGGGGGAAAGAGGTGTCAGTGTATGTGAGAGAGAGAGAGGGGAGTGGGAAGAAGTGTGTGTGTGTGTG